GGGTAGGTTGCCTCGCTTGTTGGCTTTGGCAGGTTTGCAGCCCTCTTGGGCGTTAAGGCCGTTAGCGTCCTCCAGCAAAACAGCGTGATGGGCGCCTCCAGGAAAAGGTAAAAAGTGAGAGGGAGGACAGCCAAAGTGCAATGGGAGGGGGAAGGCGGCTGCCAGACCACTGTAGCTAGGCCTGGAGCGGGCCTTGCATTGACAGAGCGTGTTTTGTTGCATTGCAGGTTGATTTTTGTGCTGCAATTATCAGACATGAAACTGAGGGAGAAGGTGCCCAGAGGCACAAAAACATCGAGTTGCAGGTGAGTCTTGTGATTCAAGCTCTCAGCTGGACGCATTTGATTTGTCCTTCACACCTCACTTACAAACACACCTCCTTCACAAACTTTCCACCACTTCTCCCTTATACCTCTCTTCTCAGCTACTCCATCTCTCCCCAAAAGTTAGCTACAGATGTTTCCCACTGGCTCTCTTCTGCTGCTCCTCCTCATTTTAGCATCTCCTTGGGAGCCAGGAAGCACTTGGCAGGAAAAGTCACCAAAAGCTTCTCTCATTCCATTTTCAGAGGTGAGGGAAGCAACCCAGTCGTCCTCAGCCAGGATGCCTTTCATTCTTCATTCCCCTGGAGAGAAAAACTGAACTACTTCCACGGCTATACATTATCGCAGTCAGATCAGGAAAAAAACCTTACTGATTGGACTGGGCAGGCAACAGCCAAAAGGCCAAATACCTCCCACCAGAACAATCCACTGATCCAAGCCTGTTTCTTGAGACTCTCCCTCCCTTCATGGCCTCACGATTGTTTCCCCTGTCACGAAGGACAGGATGTGCGTTCAATCACTTCAGAGAAGTGCAGGTCCCCTGTTGTAGGACTGCGCATCCAGTCACATGCACAGACGTGCACAAGCACATCAGAGCAAGGGACTGGGGACCGCAGAGCCCAATTAATGACCAAACGTGCGTTAGTCACGCGCTGGAAGACAGCTGCACGTCGGTCATATCACAGACCACAGCTGCCTCCACGGGGGCTTAGCGATCTGACTGCTGTGGAAAGTTCAGAGCAGATTTTCAGAGCTCAGTGAACACCCACAGTTAAATTAGGGATATGAAGACACATAATGAATAGCGTACAAATATTAAAATGCTACAACATAAAGAAAACATACAGCCTCACCTGTGCACCAGTAGGGATAAGTGGCACATGGGGTGTGCGAAACAAGCCCAGGATTTACAATTACAGTACAAGCATACCTTACCTGACTCTGGGGACAAAGCTGGCTGGGGGGGGGAGCAGTACGGCTGTCTCAGGAAGGAAAAAGTGAAGTCCTGGCCAGCTGGAAGAAGCAGAGCAAGGAGGCAGCTGCTGGCAGTCTTGGAAAGCCACCGAAGATGGCCAGAAGGTAGGATGGGATCTTCTAGAGACTCATGGGCCTCTGTTTTCCATCCCCACCCCTCCAGGAAGTCTGAGGCAAGGCAGATGCCAGGGACAGCTACACTTTCCCACAGACGGTAGAAGACCTTCCCAAGAGATGATTTGGCAAACTGAATTCTCACAGTATGCTCAGGTATGTCTCAGCAAAGTTAGTGGAAGAGCTGACTATGTCTAAGAATACTTCTGTGTGCATTTCTACTCTGAAGACCTGTGGGGATCTAAAGGCAGGGGAACTTTTCCCTTGACTTCAGCTGGTCTTGGATGAAAGCCCCAAGAAATACACAGTAATCCAACATGGTGAAATTATGAAATACGTTACAGAATACTCATATTTTCTTAGTATCAAAAGAGAAGCCGTTATGTAATACTTGCTACTGTAGGGGAACGGGAATGTCTGCTTAGTTCATGATTACAGGGTAAGTAGTAGCAAGTTAATGTTTAACTATGTTGTTGTAATTTTGTTCCATCCCTCAAGACTCTTAAAAAAAAACAGTGGAAAAAGTCTGGAGTGGTTTTATTACATGACACGCAAATACCACCCTATGATCCAATTTGCAGCCCTTCAAAATGAGGAAATTGGTGCTTTGCAAAGCAGGGCGTCTGACATTCTGTAAGTTAAAGGACAGAGGTCCGGTTTCCCCGTGTCCCATATGCCGTTGTACTGGAAAAGCCACGGTCTGTTTCTGTCCTTGCTTTTTAGGAAGGTATGAGAAACAAGTGCTTGAATATGCTAAAAATATGCTTGTTTGACGCTGAACTGGTGGGACAAAAGTATTACTGTAGGGCTGATGTGTCCTTTGCAAACCCATAGCCACTCTTTTATTGGCATGAGTATCATACAAAAGCATGCACAGCTACTACTCTTTCTGTACTACAACTGCTCCACTGTGGCTTAGTTTGCAGTCTTTGTGCCACACAATGAGAAACAAGTAAAGCTTCTGCAGCTTCCTGGCTGAGGCCGCGAAGCTTGCGGAAGAGGCAAAGCCAGTACTGCACTAGCTCTGGCTGTGCCCACGGAGACACGCACCTTAACGGTCTCTGCGGTGTACAGGGAGTGCGTAGAATCCCCTTACGCAGTTTACATACCCTCTGCTGGGCCCCGCTGCACAAGACATCAAAACTTCATAGAACTCTACTGCCTATTTGGAGATAGGCCTTTTTTTATTGGGGACCAGTGTGCTAGCTGCTGTACAAACACTGGGTGAAAAGATAATCCCTTTACCAAAGGGCCCAACGTTACACCCAGTTATCGGGACGCATGCTTGCAGTTGCATTTCTCAGTTTTTCCTCGCTTATTCATTGCCCTCTCGAAGGTTTCCCTCCCTGGAGGACCACCGCGTACGGCACGAGACATCCCCGCTGCAACGGCGTGCCCCGCTAGCAGCACGGTCGCTTTCAGCGCTGCGGCTCGTCCCCTCAGGC